TTGTCCCTCCTACATGAATAGGTCCTACTATAGATCGGCCTATGTCTGCTAATTTTTCTATGAGAAAGGTGCCAGACTCAACAAAATCATATTTAGTAATACAATAGAGAATGAATAACTCTTCTGCGCTTACAGGCTCACTGGTGTTACTTTGGCCAAAAAAATGTATGGGCTAAAATAATTTGGAAATACCTAAGTACTGGGTTATGGATACGATTTGAGAACTGGGTGGATGGGTCAGGATTTCCGTTACTGGTAATTTCTTTCCACAAAGTGTCTAAGGTATCTTCTGTGTTTATATCAAGGGGAACTCCATGTGCAGCAGTTGGAACAAACTGGAATCCTAAGAGGCGACCTAAATATCTATGGGTTAGTTTATACTTCTTCCCAAATAGCCTAAAGAAAGTCCGACCTTGATTTGGCTGGTAAATAAGTGAATTTAGGAATTCTAGGGTAAGTTTTCGGTAGGTGACATTTTTGGCTTCTACAAACTCATCCAAATCTAACTGGCTATACATGTGCGTAATGCTACACTCAATCCCTAGGGCTTCCATGCAAGTGGATTTAGGGTATCTAGTGGGTAGCATAGGTCTCTCAAATAGGAATGTGTAGTGGTTCCTCTGGTCGTCATCTTTGAACTGAATTTCCATGTCATCGAAGTTCTGCATCTTGGAAATTTGGTTAGAATAAGTTATGTAGAATGATGAGACCTGAAATATAAGAATTCAGAAAAGTTAGTCATGTTAGAAGAAATAATTCACCGTGATAAAAGAAAATAATAAAAAGGGAAAGAAATATCATGGGTTGCCTCCCATGCAGCGCTTTGTTTAATGTCGGTAGCTCGACTAAGAATATGATTTAAGTCAAATATTTGGCTTCCAAGGCCATTTGTCAAGCCATCTCTCATATCCTTCACATTTCCTATTCTTTTTACTGTAGAGTGGTTCATGTCTTAGATAAGGTGGGGGAAGCTCTGGCTCTATCTTAGGAATTATATTCTTAGGTTTTGTGTCAATCTTTTTAACTGTAAAGGTTGAGGTTTTGTTTTTAAAATTAGCGATATATTTAGTTCTATGTTTTGCAAAATTTTCCCTTCTACATGGAGCCTTATACCGTTTCGACTGTGAACTTAACTTGGTTTCTAAGGAATTTGGTGGAAAAATATTTCTAATTTATTTTTTATCCCCGTTCCTCCTTGATCATATTATTTCCTCCCTTAGGATTTTCTATCGGTTTTTCACTACCTGTTGCTATAATATCTTCGTGCTTTTCAGTGAGGGGGGTCCTAGTGATGTTTATGCAAGCATTGAGATTTTTGTATCTATTTCCTTGTTACTTGTTAATAGAGAATTAACCACAGTGTTCAGTTTCCTAAGGGTTTCATTAACATGAAGGATTTGGTTTCTAAATTCCTTACTCATGATGGTTAGTGTTACCACAAACCTTCGCATTATAGATTCTATCCCGGAGAGGGTTTGCATGTTAACAAAGTTCTCTTCTAATATTTTGAGGTTTAACTTATAAGGATATTGGGGTCCCTCGAAATACCCATAGTGGAAATTATAGGAAAAAATTTGGGTAATCCATCTAGAGGTGTGCCTTAATCTAAACGATGTAACAACAGAGTTATGATATTCGACGTAATTGGTCCCTTACAACGGCACCAAAAACTTGATGGGATGTAATTTTGCAAGTGCACGAAAAGTATCAGAGTAATATAAAGAGTGTCGAACCCACAGAGACCTGATAGTCAAACTATCATTTTCTATCACTACGGTGTTTATCTAAGGCTAATAAAATAAAGGTTAAAGTTGTGCGAATAAAGTAAATGAAAAACTTGAATTAATATCATAAATGCAATATTAGAATATGGATCTCATCAATTCGTTGATACTCTTGTTGTTCATAAATCTAATTTCTATGGGACAATATTTTCCACTTTGAAAAGAGTTAATTGAACAGTAACTGTCGCTTTCGCGTATTTAGAATCAGATTTTACTCTCTAAATTATATTGTCCACTGTCACGATGGTAGGCGATGTTTGCGTTAAAGTAGTGAAATCTATTTTAAGAAATTAAACTCTTTTACTAAGATGAAAAGTTGTTTGGATTGGAAAATAATACTTTAAAGGGTTCCCGATGTTAGTTCGGCCAACCGTACCTTAAACTTACAAACGTGTTCAGAAATAGGTTCAAAAGTACTTTATTAAAATACTAATCTTCCTAATTAATTAACAAATATGTTTCGTGTCTTTTATCAAATAAAAACTAAACAACCTTAATCTTTTGTATCGGACGACTTTCGATTTCATCCGACATATAAATGATTCTACTTTCATAGTAACCGATGAAGTTAAGTTTAAAAAAGTTGTGATTAAAAGCAAAACAGACCCAATAGTATTTCTCAAAGAACAACCATTCAGAATACCGTCGAAACGACGATTCTCACATTCCAACACTTATAAATTTAATCGGATATGATTATAACATAAACCAAAACGATTGATTCGATTATATGATAAAACAAAATAGACAAAGTAAAATAAGCTTTAAATATGCAATTAAAAGAAAGGTAGAAGAAGAGCGTGTGATTAAATAAAAGAGACGATAAAATCAAGACAATGTAATTAAATAAAAACCTGCTCCGAAGAGACTTTAATCTGGTACAGGAAGTAAAGTGCTGGAACTTGAATGCAGAAAGTAAAATGACGACAAGATTAAGCTTCAAATAAAAGTGCTTCAAACACGATTACAGACTCGATCAACGATGTGATAATACTCTGATGTGAAGAGTTAATCGCTTACAAATTTGACAGTATATGGCTTAAATTTGTAACTAAGCTTGGATACCAAAAAGAGAAACTAAAAGACCTATTTATAATGAAAATAAAACCCTAAAATGGTGGTTGAAACTGCTGAATACGTGTGAGGAAGAATAGGAGAAAAAGGAGGATGTGCAAGACCAAACCAAGACCCAATTCAACTGCAGCGAACTTTAACATGTGGCAACCGCCACACCTCCACGGCGAACGCCATGCTCCCAAAATGGGTAAGACATTGTCTTCTGACCGTTGAGATGTGGACCACTCATGGCCACCTGCATGGTGAACACCATGGTGAGCGCTTTGAGTGCAGAATGCTCCATTTTCTTCCGTTTCTCGTCTGTTTCGCTTCGTTTCTTCGCACATGACTCTAAAACGGAAAAATACCTAAAACAAACACAAATACCGACATAAAAGTGGAAATGTAAAATAAAATGAGAACAGAACATGCACAAATCGAGTCAAATAAACAGTGTAATTTGGTGTCGTCATTGCTTGTTTAACAAATGGCATTAGAGTCTAATGTCAGTCATAAGACTAATTATCTTAGGAGGTATGAATGACTTCAAGCAATTCAATAAACATACCTCCATCCTTTAATGAAAAAATATAGTACCTTATAAAAAGAGAAGATGAAAATTTATAAAAGAAATGAATTATATAGGTCTAATAATAGTTTTTTTCTCTAGCTTGATATTTTTAAAGTTGAGGTTGACTTTAAAACCTATACCTATCTAAAAAAATTATTTCACATTAAAGTGTATAAATAGTTTTTTATATATATATTTTTAATAAGTTAAATATATATAAGTTGGTCTATTTGAGCTTTTTTTTTAGTCTAAGTTTAACAAATTTAATTAAATAAGTTTTTTTAAGAGTTAAAATCTATCATTTTTGATAAATAGATTGTTTGGGAATGGATACCAAGAGTGTTAGGAGTATCAACGGATTTAGCATTCATGATCTATTTCTCTCACACTTCAAAAATCAATTTTCTCACAGCTTCAGCTTCATCTTTACTATTTCACCTTCACAATTTTATAGCTTTCAATCATGTTTTCTTCTAATAACTTTTTTTTTCCACTTTACTTTTTTAGAGCTAAAAGCAAATATAGGTTGAAATTGAAATAGAATAAAAGTTCATTGAATAAATTATTCGGTTAAATTATTGTAAACTTGAGGTAGTAATTATTACAAATACAACAAATAATTGTTTGGATACTAACTATAACTTGTATAGAATAATAGAACAAATTTGGTAACTGTTTAAGGTATTTATATTATTAGATTGTAATTGTTTTACATATCGTAATTATTTGGATAGAACATATTATACTGTAATAGAATAAGTTATAATTTTTGAAGTTGCTAGAAGAAATTTTGATAATATTAATTAAAATATAATTTTTTTATTATGTTGTTTGTATGTATAAATGACTATTTGATATCGTTGATGTTATATAAAATTTACATAAATGATGTTATTTAAAAAAAATTATATCTTTTTTTAAGAATTTATTTTTGTTATTCGCTTCAAACCTCTAAAAAATCAGGACCGGCCTTCCAATTACATTTATATTATATTATTCTTAAAATTCAAATAAGTTGTATTAAAAAAATTTTTTTTTTAAATTCATTTTTATTATTCGCTTCAAACCTCTAAAAAATCAGGATCGACCTTACTACGATACTTATATCATAGTATTCTTAAAATTCAAATAAGTTGTACTAAATTATGTGGGGTTTTAGTACATTATATTCTATCTCTGATGCCATGACATGAGTAGCATGTTAAATGTTTTAAATATAAAGAAAGTATATTATAAAGTTGAACAATTTGCAGGCAGATCCAAATGTACGGTGAATAGGGCCATAGGACACAAATCCTCAAAATTAATAAGATAAGGAATTGGTGTCTCTATGATTATTTATAATAAGAATATCCAACAAATTTAAAAATAAAAGTATGTCTGTCCAATTAAGTAGCTTGTGTATGCGACCATATTTTTCCATTTCCATTTCCATTATTTAATTGATTAACCCCACATCTCACCTCGTCATCATATCATATATACCACCAAACCAATTCGTTTTCTCACCTCTTTCTTTCTCTTTCTCATTCTCATACTTTCTCTCTTTTTCATTCTCATAATTAGAACACATATTTTGGTTTGTAATAATGGGAAGAAGAAAGTGTTCACATTGTGGTAAGATGGGACATAATTGTAGGACATGTACATCCTTCACCACAAAACTTGTAGGACTTCGTCTCTTTGGTGTCCAACTATCCTCATTATCATCATCATCATCATCATCTAATACCATCATCAAGAAAAGCTTTAGCATGGACAATTTTCCTTCACCAACCTCTTCATCTTCTTCATTCTCTTCATCAACCATTCATGATAATCATCATAACAAGAAAGGTACGAGTATATTCATTATATAAGTGAATAATCATTAATCAGATTCATTAAATAATTGATGTATGTTGTCTATATTTTATTGTTTTTATTCTATAATATTTAGGAGTTCCGTGGACAGAAGAAGAGCACAGAATATTTCTTGTTGGATTAGAAAAGCTTGGAAAAGGAGATTGGAGAGGTATCTCTAAAGACTTCGTGATTACAAGAACTCCTACACAAGTTGCAAGTCATGCTCAAAAATATTTTCTCCGATTAGCATCTCTCAATAATAAGAAAAGACGTTCAAGTCTCTTTGACTTGGTATTTACTATATATCATTATTATAGACTAATCCAACTCATTAATCATTATTTACTATATTAACTTTGTGATTAAATTGATATGATATGACTGTAGATTGGAAGCAAGAACACCAAGAGAGAAGGTAATATATTAATGGATATTAAGTGTAAATTAGAAGAAGCCAAATCAGATAATCAAGAAATTAATTACTCTAAAGTTAATTGGCTACATAATCATCACTCTTCAAATTATGTAGCAGTGCCTAATTTGGACCTTACACTTGCAGTTGCATCCCCTAGTGCTAATCAGCCCTCTCTAGCTGGCCCATTTCTTCTAGGCCCAATTAGGGTCACTTAATTAATTTAGTATTCTGGATTTTTTTTCTTCAAATTATGTAATTTTAATTATAAATTTGTTGTCAAGTGTAACTTAACCTCATGCACAAGAAGATATGATCAAAATTATATATATATATATAACAGTGTTTGACAATGATCATTCTTAATTTTATAAAAATAAAAAGTTATTTAATTTAAATAATTATATTAAATTTGTTAATAATTTAAGAAAATAGGAAGTGTCTCACTTAATAATGTTATGCAAGACTCACTTCTTTTTAATAAAAATGTTTTTGATAATTTATTCAAAAATAAAATAAAATGTAAAACAACTTCAAAGAATTCAAAATTTGTAGCTCTTTGAAAATCTGTAGGATGGTATTGATTTAGTTTCACTTCTTGTCTTTTAAAGTAAATTTTTTAAAGAATACAAAGATATCTTCTTTTTGGGGGAAATTTTTTACTAGAGAACAATGAGTTAGAATGGATAATCGTAACACTTTTTCTTTTGCACGCAAATTGTCATTTGAAGTAAGAGAAATAAACTTTATGATATCACTTTGTGGTCTTGTGAATGGTGCTTGGACAATGATAGTTTGTGTTGGAGGTTTTGGGGTATTTTAAAATTTTGTATTGTACTAAAGATTGTTTTATTACCCTATTGTAGCATCTAGCATTTTCTCTTTGAATATTGACTAGAAGAATACTCTCTTGACCACAATTACAGAGTCGAAAATCTTCTATCATACTTTTATGAGTATGATATCCTATAAAGCCTTTTGTTTGGATGAGTTCCAACCCCTTTATTTCAAAATATTATGGGAGGATACTTAGAATGATTTTAGAATTAGTGAGGTCAACTTTTTTGACAAAGGTTACATGGATTCTTAGATAGTTGAGTCTCTTATGATCTTGATTCCTATAGTTGATAACCCACACACTTTCGAGAAATTTCAGTCTATTAATTTTTGTAAAAAACCTCTAAGTTGGTCTCGAAAGTTTTAACAAATTGCTTTAGTTTCATGTTTAGGGAGATCGTGAACCCTTTGCTTATAGCTTCAATTCTTTTAGCATTTACATAAATCTAATAAGAAACAAGGTGATGTTATTTATAATCATGATCTTGAGAAGGTTTGTAGAAGATTGAATTGGTATTTTCTCTGTGACACCCTCTATTACTTTGGATTTCTTTCTGCAATCATCTCTTTGATCATGAGTAGTATTTTCATTACTTTTGTCTCATTATCATGGAATGTGAGTAAAACTAACACTTTCAACCTTTATGTTATCTGCAATAAAGAGATCATTTATCTCCCTAGCTTCTTGTTTATTTCAAAGAAAGGCTTGGTGATTTGATTGATTATTTTATATTGTACTAAATATTTTTTTATTTCCCTCTTGTAGCATTTAGCATTTCTTCTTTGAATATTGACCACGAGAATACTCTCTTGATCATAATTACAAAGTCAAATATCAATCATGATTTTATGAGCATGAAATCCTATAATCCATTTGTCTGGATGGGTTCCAACCCATTTATTTCAAAATATTTTGGGAAGATACTTACAATAATTTTAGAATTTTATGAGGTCTACTTTTGTTGACAAAGGTTACATAGATTCTATGGTTGAGTCTCTTATGATCTCGATTCTTATAGTTGATAATCCATACACTTTCAAGGAATTTTGGTCTATTAATTTGTGTAACAAACTTGTATGTTGGTCTCGAAAGTTTTAATAAATTGCCTTAGGTTGAAGTTTAGAGAGATCATGAATCCTTTGCTTATAGCTTTATTTCATTTAGCATTTACATAAGTCTAAGAAGAAACAAGATGATGTTATTTACAATCATGATCTTGAGAATTTTATGGAAGATTGGATTTAAATTTTCTCTATGACACCCTCTTTTACTTTGAACTTTCTTCTGGAATCATCTCTTTGATCATGAGTAGTATTTTTATTACTTTTGAATATTTAATAAAATGTTATAATTAAAAGGTACATAATAAAATTATTAGGTTTAACTAAGATTAAAAGTGTAATGAGGTTAGATGAAAATATATTTCAAATGTTTTTCGTCTCGTATCTTTTGGTCGGGGTTCATATTAAAATCACTTAACTTACAAAACATCCATTTTGGTCCCTAATTATTTAAACAGATTCATGATTATCCTTGACATCAAAGGCATTAGTCAAAGTCAATAGAGGAGACCAGATATCACCTATGTGGATTAATATTTGTTTAGGTGGATATATATTGTTGAGTTGAAATACTTAAAGGGATTTATGGTTTGATTTACTTCATTTCTTGTATTTTCTTTAAGTGAAATGAAGGAACTCTCTGAGTGAAACGAAGGAAGAACATTGGAGATTTGAGAATGCAAATGCTGACGATTTAGAAGGTATGAAAGAAGACCGGGAACGAAGGAATGAAGGTTGAAACAAAAAGAGGAAGACAAGTCTATTGGTAAGTCAAAATTTACACTTCTTTAAAATTTAGGGTTTAATGGGTTTTCAATTTTTTCCCTTTCTAATATTGGGTTTACTGGGTTTAATTTTTTGGATTTAATTTATAATATTCGATTTAGGGTACATTATTTGTGTTAGGGATTTTGTTGGTTCTTTTTTCGAAATGTTAATTGTGTTGTATTAGTCTTATTGTATGATTTTCTGTTGAAAAGATGCCAAAAATTCCCTTTTAAAGCCTTTAGATCGTACCAGAATGCGTCAGAATTTGCCCAGAAAAAGGGCCCATTGCGCGCGTCATGGACATCATCGCGCGCACGATGCAACTTTTTTAGATCCATTACATATGTGATAACACATGATGGCTGGCGTGATTTTTCCATTTAGTTTCTCGTTTTTGCTCATTTTCAGCCAAATTTCTCTAAGTCCCTATTTCTTCATACTTGTTCATTTTCACATCATTCTTTGGCCATTATTCTTCACATTTGATCATCTTTGACTTGTTTCTATCTTTTTCTTTGACAAAATATATGCAATGACAGAGTGTCATCACAACCTCAAACTTAATTTGATACTTTTCTTCAAGTAACTTGTCTGCAACTGCAAATTCAAAACAGAAACACAAACTACAACAATAACAATTGAACATCACTATATACTATTTGTTTTACATGTTCATCATTCTAGCTTCTAACTGCAATTCATAAAATTCATAAAACATCTTCAACCTTGTCAAGTACTCAACATGTCTCTCATCTCACTATAATTCACTCAATTGATAGGATAATCTCTTAATCAACATACAAAACTTCTTATATTGAGTTTGATCATATTTTAACAAAATTCATCAAAGTAATCAAAATACACACACTTAAAGACTTTTTTAGTTGTAACGTTGTTTAAGTTCGGGAAGGATATTTTAGGGAAGTAGGTTTAAACCTTTGGAGTTGGTACCTAGTTCTCCTTTTGTTATCATACCAACTCTTTTTCTTATTATCGGTACTAGAGATTTAGACTTTTTGTGGTCTTCGTTATGCCTTTTTATTCTTTTCTCATTTTTTTTTGAAGAAGTTGTTTTAACTTCTTGATTTTTTTCTCAAAATTTTTGAATTTTTGCCCAATATCTCTTGTACCCCAACCCCAAACTTAAACTTTGCTTACTTCCAAGAGCAACCCTAAAGTTTTTCTTTTTCATACGATAAGAAAACTAAAAATTTTACCTAACTCCAAAGAGATGGCGGAAAGATTTAATCTTTCGAGTCAATTGGCTAATAAATGAGGCTATGTCACCGAAACAAAAGGCTAAGCTCAAAGTCGTTAGCAAAAGATTTTCATATTAATACGAGTTGGCTTAAAAAGGATCAGAGTTTTAAACAACAAATTGCATCGGTGTGTGTAAATCAAACTAGACAAATCAAGTTAGAAATAATTCAAACCTAATAAAACAGTAAAGCACAAATACACTCATAGAAAGAAATTGTAAACAATGGAAATATTTGGCTCAAACCTTACTAGCTGAGGTATCTGGAGATTGAGTACAAGCTTGTTGATTATGTTTTCATCTTTCACTTTTAATTCGTAAGACACTTTCTTGATGATTAAGTTTTACCTGCCGGTGCCTTTGGTTCATTTGCTCAATGCTTAAGTTGCAATTTTGTAAATCTGAAAGAAACATCAAAAGTATACTTTTTTTATTAATTTCAAGTAAATATTAACTAAAAGAGGAGTATGCATGAGTAGTTTAACTCCTTTTACTGAATTTAAATACGAGAAAAATAAATTTCTTGAAAAGGTAAATAAAAGTTGAAATAAGTGATGTGTTGTCTCCCATCCAGCGCTTCTTTAAGGTCCTAAGCTTGACCTTTTGATTTTTGTGTTAGGGCGACATATATGACACAAAAAATGTGGAACCTTGTTTTGTAGGTGTTGTACCCCAAAATTTTCCCTCTCATTTATCAAATAATCTCTCACAAGATCTCCTTTGATTCAAGACTGCACAAGGGTTGATCAACCCAATACACCTCCTCAAGCACTGATGACTGGAAATTAGGGTTTGAGATTGCACAAGGACAAATGGAATTTCAATGCCCCATATGACTTTCATGGATCATTTTGTACCCTCAAGATTTCTCATGTCAAGTTTCAAGTCTTGGATCACATTTTTGCTCAGTCAATTGATCAGTTGACCTAAAATCAACTATATTGAGGAAAAAGTCAAATGTGGTCAATTTACAGTCAAACTTCATAATTTTTTATCCATATCAATATTATGAACTCATATATGTAATTTCATCAAGTTTGGATCACAATTCCTCAAGAAATTTGATCAGATCATCAAAAGGGCAAAATGGTCAAAATTAGGGTTTTGAGTGAGAAGGTGCAATTTCTGATTTTTGACCTAGCAAATGATTGATTGGTTTAAGTTATGATATCAAGGATTAAAATAATTCATTTTGACCTAATGTAATGGGTCAAAACATTCCTCAAGATCAATTGATTGATAGATGATTTTCAGTCAATTGATGAAAAGTCAACTGTACACTAAAAAGTCAAA